CGGATCAAACAAATTTTCACAGAGATGGCATAAGAGTTTACAACGCTCTATGTCGAAAACGGGAACGGAAAAACGGGAGGCAAATAGAGCTCTCCAACAAAGAAACTCTCCTAAATTAAAAGTGAAAACTTTTTTTCTATCAATGCCGACAAATGTTACTCTTGGCAATGCAGTTTTTAGAATTTTTTACATTAAAAATTGCAAGAGTCAGAACATTACCCTCTAAAATCAGGTGACCGTTGCTCACGTGCAGAAGCTCTCAGACGCAGTCATTCCTTAAGCAACTCCGTAAAGGGATCTTAAAGGGAGCTTCAAACATATCAGCTTAAAAAAGATAGTTTTTTCTGTAAAATTATTATAGAGTAAAATTTGCAAATATTTTTCTCATGACTCTATTTTCAAACCTCTCTTAATCACAATGCTAACTATATGGGGCGTTCCTACGGAGAGGAGCTTTTTAAAAAACGACTATTTCAACTGACTTGTATGTCAACGCCTTGGTGCAACTATTCGTGATCAATGGATGTCCGTGTTGCCTATGCAAAAAGTGAAGGCGCTTTGACTTCCCTCGCGCTCGCCATGACTGTCATCTGAAGCACTATTCGTCGTCACCCGGACGAAAGAACGTAACTCCATTCCAAGGTTGCAAAAGTGATTCAAACAATTCAATATTTAACAAGAATAGACCTGTGCAATTTTTGTCGAAAATGGTCTGATTTTCGCATAAGATCAGAAGAATAATCAGGGAATTTTTCAGTCAGAAATGCCAAAAATTCTCCTGGGAAAAATGCAATCTGCGCAAGGAAATTTGGCAACATTGAAATGCAGTTACGTTTCTTCGTGCGGAAAACGACGTATTATGAGAACCGCTTACTCTTATAGAAATTTAAAGGAGATGCAGCCACCAACACAGATAATGAGACGATACCTTCGTTTCCGTGTAATTAATCATGGGACCAAATTGTCATTAAATATTGTCACCAAACGATACTAAAATATCTGAGTCTTTCTCAATCACACGCAAACACATGACCTTAGTGACACGCGAACACGTTTAGTGACCCTGGTAAAAATTGGTGGTACGAGCTGCGTTTCAAAATACCATAGAAGTTCTTATAGCCGACTGAAGAAGGCTATTGAAAATCATATAGCTGGCTGTAGAAAGCGGATCAAATCATATAGCCGGGCTATACAAAGCTATAAAAAAGTATACAGTCGGGCTATAGTTCCTATCGCCGGGCTTACACTTTATCGACATTGGCTATAAAAGGCTATAAGAAATTGTGTAGAAATTCGTGTGCTTTGGAAATCATTAAGTTTGATACGGAACTACTTTAATATTTACAAAACACACATTATATTTTCTTTTGAAACATATTTTTTTATCAATTAAAACGAGATGGTCCATACCGAGTGTGCAAACATTTCAAAATCATGAGTTGAAAAACGCTGACTCCGCGAGATTAAATATCAGAGCATAACACAAAACGGAGCGGCGACGAATTGGCACCTACAAACCTAACAGGGATACTTCACGCATTGCAATGCGACAGGCATCCTTCAAAAGTACGGAGCTTTCCTCGCAAAATAAATCAAGATACAAGATACGGCACAAAAAGAGAGCGGTAGTCCAAAAACTGACTGAGTAAGTCCTAGTATCCGTATTTAGTAACGTTTAGCATAAACTTTATCGTCTGGCTGTTGCTTAATCGCCATCGGCTATAAAAGGCTATAAGAAATTTTACAATCGGCTACAGAAGCTACTGGAAATCTTATAGCCGGCTTTAGGTCTATAGTATTTTGGAACACACATTCTACTGCCAATTTCTACCAGGGGAGGTTAATTTTTGAGCAAAACAAAGCCGCTTAGCGACCCGCTCAAACGAGCATTTCATGAAACGTCGAAGAATTATTTTCAGCATTTTAACGGAAAAAATCGATGATAGTAGAATGGAATAAGTTGATAGGTGCATGCAACATGCAGTAGCGTGCCGAATATAAAAGCGTTAGAATTCATTAGAATTCCGAAATTTTGTCGTAAAAAGATTTACTGAAATAAAGGAAACACGGGACACGGGGGAAAAAGATTTACGTCCTAATGAGAATTATAGTTCTGCCGTGCTAAGGAAAAACGCCGTATGGACATTAGTGAGTTGCCAAATTTCCTCCGATAAAATGTTTATTTTTGAGGAAAGCAACGAATATTTTGTCTTGAAATTTTCAGGAACAATAGGTAAAATTAAGAACGAAATTATCCGAAAAATTGGAAGAAAACTATTCACGAATTCTCCCAAGAATTCGTAATCTACCAACGGAAATTTGGCACCACCTGATGGCGCATACGGCGTTCTTCCTTAGCACGGCAGAGTCGCGCTCACACAGTTACGCTGAAATACGGTTACGGGAGCGTACGCAGCGAGCACAATACGGCATAGTGAGGGACGCAATGCCACACAGCGGGGACAAAATCATGGTCATGTTTACACCGGCAGGTTAGGGAAATATAAAAGCACATAAAAACAAGTTTTTAAGAAAATAAAAAAGAAAATCATGGCAAAAGAATAAAAAATTACGATAATGATGAGGAAGTAAAAAACCAAATCTGACAACAAAGTTTGTTAGCGTTGCTCTCCGTGCAGAGCCGCGTTACAGATTTTCCTATCCAGTTACTTTAAGCCTCTAGACTTGATCGTTTATTTTAATAAGAAATTCCATCATCATCATATATCCTCGTGCATTATTTTCTATACCGACACGACTTGCCTCCATTATGTTTTTCATTCCTTTAAAAATATTTCGCGGGATTGCCGCCTCAACGCGGATTCACCAGCTTCCACGCATGGCGCACAGTGGATCGAGTCGATGAGACAGGTCGGAGATGAAATTTTTTACTAAAACTGCAAATTTTAATGTTTATTTCATCACATTTTAAATTTTAAGGGATGTTTCTGAAAACAAATTTAACGAGGAAACCAATGGAACCGTTTTTAACATCTCAAAGTTTTGATTCAACGGATGTATAAGCTTTTAAAGATTCCAAATTTGGTCCGACTTCTCTCATTGACTCGATCCACTGTGCGCCGTTTGAGAGGTGACAGCAGCCAATCTTGCATCATATTGCCTACCGCGGAGAAATTGTACAAAGGACCGGTAGACAAGGTACGAATTTTAAAGTTCAAGGGGTGCTCATGGATGAGTCTTTCACGAGGAAACCGATGAAACCACTTTTGGAACCTCAAAATTTTGGAGTTATAAGCGTTTATAACTTCCAAATTTGGTTTGACCTCTCCTATTCTACCGTGCTAAAGAAAAACGCCGTATGAACATTCGAGAGTTGCCAAATTTCCCCGGATAAAACATGTATTTTTGACGAAATTTATGCATATTTTCCCTTGAAATTGTCAGATTTTTTGGATTAAATTGCGAACAAAATAAACAGAAAAATTGGAAGAAAAATATTTACAATTTTCCCAATGAATTCGTATTTTATCAGAGGAAATTAGGTAAGTCCTGAAAGTTCGTACGGCGGTTTTCCTTAGCACGCACTGGAAAAAAAACACATTGGATCTAGAGTCCAGACTCTTAGAAACATCGACAAGAAAAAATACTCTTGATTCAATCAGATTTAAGCTTAAATCAAGAACCCAGTCTCTTAATTTGAGCGGATTTCCTTTTGATTCAAGCAAAAATCTGATTGAATCAAGAGTTCTTTTTCTTGTCAATGTTTTCAAGAGTCTGGACTTTAGATCAAATGCGGTTTTTTTTCCAGTGCGATCCACTGTGTGGGGAGGGTATACTCGTATAAAAATGCGCGCGTTTCTCATTTCATGTGACTCCTCGGGCTGGTCCTATTCTTGGCTATTCCTCTTCTTCTATCGACATCATTGTTCCTGCGTAATGCGTGTCTTGTGATCCAAATAGTTGGATTATTCCGAGCGCTCCACGCCCTCTCCTAATTGGCAAGCTGCGTCTGTGCTGCAGATAAATCTTCTCAAATCTGCTTTTGTCTCTCTCGACGTAGCGTCGATGAGTCTCTCATTCATCGATCAACCGAGTTGCCGCAAATAATAACGAGTGCTCCCTGCAAAACATATAGCCTAATGCATCCTCATATATAAAAATTGATGGAGAAAGTCGAGAAATGTGTATCTTCGTCGCAGCGTTTTAAAATCTCCGGCCACATTTTATTTCCTTAAAAAAAAAAAAAAAAAAAAAAAAAAAAAAAAAAAAACTAGAAAAAACATACCTCCGAAATTTTCTGTTAATCTTTTGAAATGAATTAATCGAATTTCATACACAGATTCCCTCTTAGGATGTGAAACAAAGAGGTTAATTTTACACTCAGCTATTACATCGTTGATTTTAAGCAATTCAAGCAGATCTAGCTGCATCAGACTTTCCTAGTTTTTTCCTATGCAATATTTTTAAACCTAAAAACTGCATCTACAACATTCCCAGCGTGGAGATGGTAGTAGGTCTTGTCTTGTGAGAGCGATAAATGCCGTAGCACAGAGCGCCTTCAACTTTGCGTGTATGCAACTCAGACAACCACGGAGCACGAATAGTTGCTGCGATGTATTTTTACCTTCAAAAGAGCTCGATACAGAAGAGAGGAGTAAGTGATAAACTCGAATACGAAGTTTGATAAACGCATCCATTGACGAATGAATTAATAATAATCATAATTTTCAAGACAGATTGTATATTAGTTTCCTTTTAGTGAAACAGAACATGAGCCTCTAAGCGTTGCAATCAGAGATCCGCATATTTCCATTTCAGCCATCGCATTATTTTATTACATATTTTGAGATGAAAGTATTACGAATGAAAACAAAATACCTTTAACTTTACATTTCAACTTCTCACCGTCCTTTTTCAATCATTTACGGCGTAAAACTGGAAAATCCTCCTCATCCTCTGAACCGTTATGATCGAATAAGCTATTTTCTTGTTTGTCCAACCCACAGAATATTAATGACAGCTTCATTTGTTTGTTTCAGAGTTATGGCGTTTGTTCAGAAAGCCATTGCGAGAATCAATGAGCCAGAGAAGCTGGATACATTATTGAAGGACTTGGGACGGAAACACTACTCGTATGGCGCAAAAGTAAAATATGTGGATGTGAGTAACAATGAAGTGTTCAATTCCTCCAAGTGAATCGAACTATTATTCGAGGGATACAAACATGAAACAATTGATGTGGGTCTCTCGAGATAAAATCGATCGGAAAGATTTGTAAATTCTAAAATTGTAAATATGTAAAAACAATGAAAACAACGCAATAAAATCATCGACTACAATGCAAAAAGAATTTTCCCAAGGGGAAACCGCTGCTTGTCCAATCCTCCATCTGGTTTGGCAGCTGACATATACATTGAGGTATATCCTCAAAATAGGGAAAATGTGAAATAATCACATTCCACTGCAGAAAACCCCGGAAAATCTAAAATCTTAAATCTTTATCGCACAATAACCTATAAGAGGTGATTTCCCAGCGAAAAACGATTGAATGTCCATCCGGTTAGGCTGATAATATCTATCGAGGTACATCGTCTAACCACTACAAGACGCCGTTAAATTTGCCAAAGTTTCACTATGTAATGACTGATAGTCTTGCGAAAACTTTAATTTTTATTTTTCCCAGTTTTTAAGTGAAGAATCGCAAAAAAAAAGTCACATACCGTGGTTGTTGATTACACATGCACTCGAGAGAAGAATTGTCATCTATGGCATCTGCCATACAACGGTACTAAAATTACTTAAAAGGCTTGCTATTTGTTTGCAGTGCCGAGGCTCAGCTACGGGAGAAACTCGAAATAAAGGTAATACCTCCTCACCTGACGAACAATGTCGTCTCCATAGCCAGAGTAGTGTAACGCAAAGGATAATGTCACAAGTAGGTTGTCGTATCAAAAGTCGCATCGGTGCGCGGTTAAAAGAGACCGAGGGAGAAGAGTTGAGAGGACAAAACCCTCTTCAAAAAACTTTAATCCATTCTCAAGAATCCAGGAAACGCTGCTTGTCATCGCTTAATCCTTTAAGTGCATTCCGGTTTTCACAGTTCTCGATTTTAAACGCTGATCCGAGTTGAATCAAACTTTTCATTCCAGATTAGTAATTTTAAGCCGGAACATCCTTTGATTCCCGTTACAGCTCTCGTCAAAGGAGCTTTTTTAATTGGATATGGTTGTCGGCATAAAATTAACAGGCTGCTGGAGAGGATTCCTGGAAAACTTACCTACGTGGAATTTCGTTCATCCTTTCTGATCGCGCGAACTTCGTAATTCTGTCATAGGGTCAGGGAGATTGGTGGGAAGGACAGGCGTAGGATTTAAAAATCGATTACTTTTCAACCTTTTGCATTACCGATATCAAATTGGCGTCTTTTTTTTTTCATTCCCGCTTTTTTCCCTTGTCTTCATATTTTTCTTCCGCTTAGTTTTTATCAACGTATAATGTGATGGAGTCAGACAAAATGGTTCTCAATGTGCAGGAAAATTGATAAAAATTAATAAATAAATGAAAAGAAAGGAAACTGTACCATAGCTCAGAGGGAATTTTGGGGGAACACTTTAAACAACACAAGCTGAGAGGGAACGTTTTTCGATAAAATAGCATCCCAAAACCGTTGTATCGCGCGTCTATCGTTTTTCTTGTGAGCGGAGAATTCAAAATTTCCATGACGAATACAGACTAAAAACGTTAATATCTTAGTCAGGAATTGATTTCAGCAATTTTGGCGGCCTTAATGTCGACTTCATGTGCTGTAATGGTTGTAGTGCTTGCTCTGTGATCGGGAGGTTCCGGGTTCGGTGCCCGGTCAGATGACCCGATTTTGACGGTCACAAACAACAGTTATCTGGGGCTTGCTTGATTGGGGACGGAGAGGGAATGGGACCTTACGGACGGCAAAGCCCGTAAATACCGCGTGGGATATTTTGATAGCACTTAGCAAAACGAAACCAGCGCGATTGCTGCGTTTTCAAAATGGTTAAACTTCTCCTTTTCTTCTAAGAATACTTGTACAGCATTAAAATTTACACAATCATTTTCCATTAAATTCAACAATTTTTTGGTGGGCAGTTGAAACTATTTGCTATTATGGGAGATTCTTTAGACAATGATGAAGAAGCAACATTTTTACAACATTGTAATCGTGCTGGTTCCTCTTTGCTAAATGCAATCTATCGGACGTGGGAAAAAAAATCGCGAAAAATTTCGTTCAGCGTGGAATTCTGGTCAAGAAACATTATCATATTGCTTAAATTCGTACCTCGTCTACGGGTCCAATATTCAATTTCCCCGCGGTAGGCAATATGATGCTAAGTTGGCTGTTGTCACCTGTCAAACGGCGCACAGTGGATCGAGTCAAGGAGAGAAGTCGGACCAAATTTGGAATCTTTAAAGACTTATACTTCCATTAAATCAAAACTTTGAGATTTTAAAAACGGTACCATTGGTTTCCTCGTGAAATTTGTTTTCAAAGACACCCATTAAAATTTAAAATGTGACGAAATAAACATCAAAATTTCCAGTTTTATTAAAAAATTTCATGTCCGACCTTCCTAATGGAGATGTTGCATGTGTGAGGAATTTGCAATTTGACTGTTGATTCTTATGTAAAAGTTCGAGAGAAACACGATGGTGCCACTGGTTTTCTCTGACATCAACTCCCAAACTCAAAAAAAGCTCTCAAGTTGAGGCTAAAATGGAGGGGACATTCCACACTATCCTGAGAGTCTACCTCTACACTAAGACAAACTCTCCATGCGAAGACAGGGAGCAAATACATTGACAGGGCTGCCACTTTATTTGGAGACTCGAAAACTGAAAACCCGGCATCCCTGCTAATGTATTTGCTCCCTATCTTTGCATGGAGAGTGTGTCGTGATGTAGAGGTGGGCTCTCAGGATAGCGTGGGATATCCCCTCCATTTTGGCCTCACCTTGAGAGCTTTTTCTGAGCTTGGGAGTTGATTTCAGAGAAAACCAGTGGCACCATCGTGTTTCTCGCGAACTTTTACATAAGAATCAACGTCAAATAGCAAATTCCTCACACATGCAACATCTCCATCGACTCGATCCACTGTGCGGCGTTGACTGCCCGTTGTACATGGATAATGAAAAGCGGATTTTAATGAAAGCGTTTTGTATTTGTTTACAGTTGATCGGTCCTCAATTCATTCAAGCGATTCAGCCGTCTTTGAAGGATCGTTGGAACGAGGAGCTGCACCAAGCCTGGGCCTGCCTGTTCCAGTTCATGGCCTACATCATGAAAAACGCCATGCTTCAGGAGGAGGCCGCCCAGAAATCATAACCGATTGCTCGTGCCAGTAGCTTTGAGCTCGAGACCGCCATCGCAGCTTATCAATTCGTCCCTTGGCTGAAAAAGGACGTAACTATAGCATTGAGTTATTTGGACTACCGGATTCATTACGAAATGTACTTACGTCCTCTTATCAGGAAGGCGACTAATTCTACGATATTATTACCTTACCTATTTGTATATTGTTTAATGGTTCCCGGTCCTCCGAGAACATCTTTGTAGGGGTCAGCGATAAAATATGTCCGATCCAAAATTCAGTCTGAGCGAAGACCAGGGATGCTGTGTACCAGTGTTCGAAACTCACCTTTGAGTTTTAGGAGCCACGCAGCGCATCAAACCCAATTTGTAGGCGCCACTGAAGATTTTTTAGGGGCCAAATTGACTTTTTGCCAATATATTACGGCACATTTAGTGAAAATATAGACGCAAGATGTTTTCGTAACAGAACTAGTAAGTAGTTGTAACTTGGGGACAGAGATAAGGGGAAGACAACAAGGGGCGCAAATGATGAAATCGTGAAGAATAGAAAAAGCTTTCACTTGTGGTGCTGAAAATTTCGAATAATCACCAAATATGAAAATTCAGATGTTTAGAGGGCAATTTTTAGGGGCCACGTTGGCGCAGAGCCTTCATTTTTCAGGCGCCATGGCCGAATTCTTAAGCGCATTTGGCGCGTCGGCGCCTGTGAGTTTCGAACACTGCTTTGTACACAGGATGTCCAAGTTGAATGGCGGAAATTTCAGGAATCGATTCATTAGACCGAAATGAGACTCATTGGGTTCGATGACATTTTTCCGTTTTAGACATTTTAAGGAGGGATACAGTCCAAGGCAGTGGCGTGGCGTAAAGGATCGATTATCGATATTTCTCCATTTGAAGCTGTAGTAAAGAATCGATTATCAAGGTGTTCGTTGTAAACACCTTGATAATCGATCTTTTTTCATAGATTTAAATGGCAGATCAATCGATGTATCGCAAAGCACGCCACGCCGCTAGAAGCGGGCCCTAAACCTCGAATATTTTCAGTTTTTATTTTTCTGGTCACCAGAAATGGGTGAAGCGTATACGAATACCATGCACCCCCGGCCCAAAACTTGATGTAATTTCTTTGATATCAGTGTGCCTGTGGCTATACAATTTCAAATCAGTTTTTTTGGAGAAACTTTAAGGGGCCATATCCCCTCTTAAAATGGCTCAAACGAAAAAATGCAATGGCACATATAAGTCATAATTCGGTCAGCAGAATATATACCCAGAGTTTTCAACCCTCGATTCAGGATACTGGAAGTCTGGCAAAGTTTGAGAGTCACACCCTACTTTATAATCTGCGTAAAAAATGTGCTTATTTTGGAGCCTCTCGTTTTACAAGTGACTGGGTGGGAGTAATTTTCCTCGTTGCCATTTTAAATAGGATTCATTAATCAAGTGCTTAAATTGTAAATATCTACTTGGCAAATTTAAGATCTATAGGATTCGCCACGCGAACTTAAACTAAGCTTGTCAAGGAGAGCATTGAATGATAGTTTGACTAATAATGACCAAACACTATACTTCTGAAAAAATAAGCCAAATCGATGTAATTAGCTTCCAAAAATGAATTGCTGAGTTCTAGAGCTCTTTGGTTCATGTACACGCATGAAGGTTATATGTATAAACAGTTTAATGTTTACACAAAGCGCTGATTCATATTGCGAAGAAGCAAAAAAGTTGAACCTAATTTTAAGACTATCATTGGAAGAGGGTTACACGCGTATCAAGAAGGTGAAATAAAGTAAGGACAGTTTTAAAGCGAATTATGGTTTATAGGTAACCGGGATTGAATATAGTTATTAGTTCATAATTGATACTGTTTTTTTTATTGCTGGTGTTGATGTGATTATGTGTTATCATCTTCTTAGTTATGCCATTGAAATAAATCTTTATTAGTTCGTTTTTCTCCATCCTGATCACATTCATTTCAGCGCCCCTCCACTCATACAGAATTGAAAGGAACCATTTATGAGCAGACAAACATTTTTACATGGTGTCAGATAGCGGTATACCGGTTATAGGACATTTCGTCAACGATTTTTTGTCCGCGCACCTGTTTTTTCCAGTAATTTACTTCCACACGTTTTATCGGCAAGGGAGTTTTGGTCCACGTGCTAGTTGAGACCCAAAGTTAATTGGCCCACATTTAAATACAAACGACAATTGCTCACGACGCTTTGGATGAAAATGTAAAATGTCTTGGAAGAATGAGGGCTTGCTTATTTTTTTGTTTTGTCTGTTTGGTCCAACGGAGAATAATACATTATATAGTTGAGAGTTTTGGTAAAAATGGGGGAGCGTCAATTCCATGAGGCAAAATTCACCAAAACTCTCTACACCTCTTAGGTGTAACAGGACTTAATTATCTTTCAAGATTTTCCCACTTTGTTATACCTGAACCGGATGAACCTCTATATTTTCCTCAGCTAAAGGTTCTTAGATTTTTCCAGTGTACGATAAGTATCTTGATTTATTTTGCGAGGAAAGATCTGTACTTTGAAAGGATGCCTGTCATTCTTAATACGTTCAATTTTGTATAATACTGTGCAACACCTCTGTTGTGAAATAGTTGCTTCAGGCGCCGACGCACGGTGGGCAGGTAGCCAGCACGAAACGCGCATTGGCGCCTACAAACCTAAGTGGATACTTCACGCATTGTGCAATGCGTGAAGTATCCACTTAGGTTTGTAGGCGCCAGTGAGCCTCTCGCGCTGGCAGCACGCCGCTCCGCTCTCTTAGGCTTTAATATTTATACTCGCATAGTCAGCGTTTTTTAACTCAGGATTTTGAAATGTTTGCACACTCTGCATAGATTATTCTAATTTAAATTGATGGGAAAAAATATGTATCAATTTATCAAAGGAGAATAATAATATAATGTGTGTTTTTTGAATATTGGTGGTTCCGTGTCAAATTTAATGATTTCCAAAGCACTTTAATTTTTTCTTTTACATTTTGTGCTTTTATTGTGCTGCAGCGAGGTGTACGCGCAACCAAACGCTCAAAATTTGACGTATTTGACTCTGAAAGATCGGTGTACAAATGGGTTAAAGCTAAAGATTGCGTGCTTCTTGGTTTTTTCCCTCTTTTATTCATTTTTGCAGTTTCTGTCGGCACAACTGCGGCTTATTGAGATTAATGTCGCTTGGAAAAGGTTTTACAAATATTTTTCAAGTTTTAAAAATATGTTTTCAAAATCAAGAAGTAATTTCGTAAAGGAAAAATTAAAAAAATTTAAAAAAAAGTACCTTTACACATATAAGGTATATTGTACATCGAATATTTTAAGGATAGAAATAAAACCAAATACTCACCAATGACAATTTAAAAAGATGATTCAAAAGGAGAAAGTAATAACATTTCATTTAGAAAACTAGCAACCATAACAATACGTCTCCTTCTCTCTCAATTTCTCATTTCCATATTGTCAAAATAATTTTACTCGCCGATTAAAATATAACGCTTGAACCAAGTCACCGTTGCTTATTTTACGTGTGGGCGTAAACTACTGGACAAAAAAGGTGCGCGGACAAAAAATCGTTGACAAAATGTCCTGAAACCGGTATACCAATTGTTTTGATTAATAATCTCAAAGTATCATACATACAAAATTAAGTGAGTCACGCAACACGATTTCAAATTTTTGCGGTCATGGCGCCCTTTCAAAGGAGTCTTAAGGGGTCTTGTGAGCTGGAAAATATTTGGAAAGATGTGACAACAAGGTTAAAATTTAAATTCTGACATTCACTTCTTACACGTATAGAATTTTGAATTAAGATCAGAAAATCAGATATTCAAAATGTCATAAGATTATATGAAATGAAATTTCATGAAATTCTTTAAAAAAAACTGCAATGGACTAATCATTATGCCATGAAACGCATGAAAACGGTGATATCTTGATTCCGAAATTTTGGGGAAAAACTGCCATGAGTCAAATTTCAGAGTTTTTTCGAATTCTCGCATAATAACTGCATATTGCATAGGCAGCCTCTGAAGAATCGTTAGAATTTCATGGAATTCTATTTTGCAACTTCGATTAACATGTAAATACCCAAGCTGGGTTAAATTGACCCGAAGCTCGCTAAAAACACGTGTCCCACGGGTAATGTGGGGCCGGTACACGCGAGCTTTAGATAAAGGCCTATAAATAAAGAATCAGATATCAAACATTTTAAAAAAAAGAAAACAGTAAAATACCGGGGACATTTTTTAACAACAACCTCTAGAAGCCCCAAGCCGAGTCGACCAAGTCATGCAACGACATAGAAGAGATGTATTCGGTCCTCGTTTTTAACTTTCATTCCGAATCGAGGCGACTCCTTTTGGGCAGCATACAGAGCAGAGGATTGCGAGTTCACGCCTCGCGCCTTCAATTTTGCAGATACAACACGCACATCCATCAAGTACGAATAGTTGTATCTCTGCGCCGTCATCAACGCGCGTCCTTTTCTTTGCTCCAAATCCATGTTGTGTTGGTTCCGCTTGTCTTATTTGTGGTGATGCATCCAGGGATCCGTGAGCAGCACAGCCGAAGATAGGTGAGGTCGTAATCAAATTAAAGATAAGTTTGCTCAGTATGCTATGATGTGTCCAAATCAATGACCAATTTGAAAAAATAAATAAATTAATAAATGAAAAATTAGAGGTCCTCAAGCGTCCTAACGGGGGCAAGTCCTACAGTTGGTATTTTGGTGTGTAAGTAAGTTGTTTCGCGTCCTTCTTTTTATTTATTAGATTTATTTATTTTATTTTTTTTTTAAAGAAATTCCAAGCCGGGTCAAATTGAGACCCGCCTATCTCTTTTGGAGGAGTTTACAGAAGGCGGATGAGAGGTGAGAAAGTATCAGTTTGTTACTAAAAAGGTGAAATAATTGCCAAAAAAGATTTCTTCCATTTAAAATAATGTAGAAATAACATAGACAACACTTAAAAAACTATCAATAATCAATGTACATAAATACCTATGGATCGAGAAAAAGAGGATTCACAGTTAAGTCAATTATTGGCATCCGTGTGCTCCAGGCACAGTAAAACTTTCAATCATCTCTTTGGACCATTATCTGACTGAGGCTGATTTTTGGAACTAGTTCAAACTATTTTTTTTCAATTTGATTAATTACCTGCTCCATCCGCCCTAATTTCATGCAACAACGAATGAATGCAATGAGAGACACATTTAACTATCACAAGCAGAAAAATTTGAAGTCGCTGCGTGCGGCTTTTTTAATGGCTAGGTCTGCATGTATAACTATTCTGCCGTGCTAAGGAAAAACGCCGTATGAACATTCGGGAGTTGCCAAATTTCTCTCGATAAAACCTGTACTTTTGACAAAATTCATGCATATTTTTCCTTGAAATTTTCAGATATGTTAGATTGAATTGTGTACAAAATTTTCTAAAAATTTGAGAAAATAATATTCACAATTTTCCCAGTAATTTCGGTTTTTATCGGAAGAAACTTAGCAACGTCTGAAGGCTCATACGGCGTTCTTCCTTAGCACGGCAGTATTCGTGTTCTCGGGATGTCCGTGTTGCATACACTGAAAATTGCAGGCGCTCTTATTGGGCACAACGCATGGCTGTGCTATGATTATTAGTTCATTTAAAATCGTATTTACGATGAAATCCTCAGAAATCAGGTGAGTCACGTATCATCAGTGTTCGAAACTTACCTTGAAGTTTCAGGAGCCATGTTGGCGCATTAAGCTCGATTATTAGGGGCAATTGAAGATTCTTTTAGGGGCCAAATTGACTTTTTGCCTATCACGGCCCATTTAGTGACAAGTTAAACGCAAGATGTTTCAGTTGCAGAACTAGTAGCTGTTACTTGGGGGAAATTTCGAAAAATCACGAAACAGAAAAACCATGATTTTTTTTTGGGGGGGGGGGGATTTTTAGGGGCCACGATGGCGCACGACAGATTTTTTAGGTGCATTTGGCGCCTGTAGGTTTCGAACACTGCGTATCACCTTGGCAGCAGCGTTGTAAAATGGTGTACATTTCGGAAATGTTATCTATGGTAATTTGGAGGGGGGATTGACATCCGCGATACGTTTGTGGAAATTTTTTTGGTGGAAATGTGCACCATTTGGCAACGCTGCAGTGATGCGACACGGCTCATTCGAACTCCGAGGATTTCGCGGTAGACACGATTGCAAATGCAACGTAAAGACCCTTTGAGAGCTCGGTAACTAACATACGTTGTGCTTCAGAAAGCTAGATAGTCCGCAACTTTTCGCATTATGTACCATGGACATTCCGAGAACACGAAAAGTTGCATCCAGACCTCGCCTTTGCAAAGGCCGCAGCGAAGCGCGGCGGTCGACATGTAACACATATTAGCGCCTACAAGACTGCATGGATACTTCACGCATTGCGTCTAACACAGTACGGTCAGCCCGGCGCGGCGCGGCGCAGCGCGCCGTCAATTTTTTCCGCTCGTGATAGCAAAATGTGTCACTCGTTGCATTCGTACGTCGTCGTTGCACGGAGATGGGGCGATTTGAGTATTTAAACAAATTATTTCCGTCAACTCACCAACCTCCTAACAACTTGCTCTTTCTCAGTAGTTTAAATAGATCACACCTTCAGCAACTTTTTCTGCATTCCCAACTTTTTATTAGAGATAATTTTTGCTATTCCTCTCCAAAAAGGGAATGGAATAACATCGGTGAAAATTTGCTTAAAGTTTCAAAGATTTTAAAAATTGACCCAAAGCTTTATGAGAGAAATTATTGTAGAGAAAACTGTTAGATAGGTAAACCATTGAAAAATGGTAACTTTTCAATTTCCTATGGTCTAGGTATCCGTTACTGGAAAACTCAGGTTTGAGGGGACTTGGAATTATCAGGAATGAATTTTTTTTGGATGGAGTAATCCGAGGAACACTGAAAAAAAAAATATCCTTCTTTCCTGCTATGCTTGGTCCCTTTGGAACCTGTATGATAAAGGCAGCTCTTGTTGCAGCAGGTTTCCCTCTTCAAAGGATTCATATCAACTGACCTTTTTTGAAGCCTCTATATTTCCAAATTTAAACATTAGCAAACCTTGAATCTTTTAACATTACTAGGGATTTTCCCTACTAATGTTCGTATCATGCACCAAGATTTGAGATACATTTTTTCTTGCTAATGATTTAATGCAAAAAATAAGGAGGGTGAGGATTTGACTTCTTGTTTAATACAAAACACTTCCGGGTTAGAGTTTTTTCATGTTTTTTATTTTGACATTGACAAAGTATTAATGAAAAAATAAAAAAAAACCTTATAACTAAAAATTTCATCCCTGTCGACAGTACTTCATTATATTCATAACGGAGTCAAAAGCAATATTTTCAGTGATATTTTTGGTTTTGATGCATGCCTCTTGATTTGCTACATAAACATATCCATCAGATCGTAGACTCCAGTTGTATTTCTGAATCCACTGGTTTAGAGTGTGAGCTGAAACATTTCAAGAGGTTGGAGTGAAATTAATGAAAAAATCCAGGTATGCTTTACGCAGTGAATAAAATTGGAGAAGTAAGGTAGGAGTGTCCCACAAAAATTTTGGAACAATTCCCAAGACGTCAAACTAAACAAGAGTCATGGTGGTTCAAAGTTTACTGATTAAAATAAATAGTTCCACAGAAAAGCCATTTAATTCTAATCTACCATGTTTACGAATTCAGGGTCAACATTTTTCATGAAAAATAAAATCTTAAAAATTTCAGATAAATATGATACATATTGGATGATATTTTTAAATACAAGCAAAATTAAATATGAGGCAACTAGTTATTGCTTTTTGGTGCTTTTTAGTGCATGTTGCATACCTAGTCCCTTAAAATGTGATTTATATTTTTCTCAACGTTGTGAAATTTCATAAAATATTTCACGGAAATTTTCAATGTTTCATGTTTTTCAATTCACCAGTGCAACCTTGTTTAGGATACAAAATTGCTGGATTAACTACTAAGTAACCTTATGTACCGTCTTTTAACACGGAAATTAAAGGAACTGTCATTGAATGGTATTGAATGAAAATGAAGTCTCATGACTCATTCTTTAGGATATTAAAGAAAATTTTCTGATGAAAAAGGAAAATCAAATTTTTCTACTTCATTAAAAAAAAATTACTCTACTTCTTAGTAAAGTAATACTAGTCTTAAATGTTATACAATCTGCTTTCATAAATTTAAATGAAGTTTGTGAGAGAAAAAGATAAAAAAAAAGCTTACAATCAACATCTCCGAGGAGCTGAGCTAGAAGATTCTTGTTAATAGTTTGGAAAGTTATTCCAATTACGTGGCAGACAAATTTACGAATTGAATCTTGGAATCCGACAACATGTCGATGCAGTTCAGGGATTTCTCTTAATCTTGCCCAAAACTGTTTGAAATCGCAGCTTTCCAACAGGTTTGCCAAATGAATAATTCGGCTGACATTAGATTCTTGCACCTGTAAATTATGAATCAAAAATTAAAACAGATACTTAGAAGAATAACATTTTCTGCTGCGACAAATACCCAAAAAAATTTCATGTACTTCCAAGGATGAAACATTTTTGAGGCCATAAACAATGCTTTAAAATGAAACTCTCGTCTTTGTAATAAACATTGAGGAGTCAAAAGTGTAAAGAAATAGGTAACTAATGTTTGAGGTTAGGACAATGACAATGATATTTGTCATTTTCAATCTTTGACCCTGGCAAAAAAAAAGAACAAAAAAAAAACACCCTGTTTGCTAAACAGTCATACTTAATCAGAATGATAAGATTTTGTAATATTTTAGCACTTAGGGGTGTAAAAATTTGGACGGTTTTCCAAAAATTTAAGGATCTTCACGGACTTTCCAAGGCTCTGAGTCTTCAATGGAACCTTTTGATCAAAAATATAATTTGGCCGAGTATTGCAATTTCACAAAAAGATTAAAGTGCTTTCAAATTTTAGCTGTGTCTATAGTCTACACAAAAGAGCTCCTATGACGACACAATTTTTACATCCCTGTTTTGTACCTTTTCCATGGTATTCAGATGATCTTCAATCAAGTTGATCCGATGAAAGAAAGGAAAGATCATCAAGACGTTAAACAGCTGGGGACAATGAACTTAAGGGAAAAGTATTTACTACAGACTAAAAAATACCCAATCCACCTTAAATAAACACAGAAATTAGTCATAAGTACATTGGTTACTTACTATTCCTTCGTTCAATAAACATTTGCAAAGAACAAAATCTGTGTGAGGCAGGTTCGTCAATGCTTTCAATAAAATGGTGCAGGTCATATCAATGTCATAACTCTGATTAAACTGATAAAACTTGAGAACTGCTAGGTTTGCTTCCAAATCATATGCATTCTCTTTAGCTTGGAATGTTACGTAACGTTCTACGCTCTGAAGATTATCTGGGTTGTACCTGAAAATGAGGAATTCTTTGTTAGTACTTTCAAAGGTGAATAAAAATTGACATTAATTAATTTGACAAATAAAGCAATATCTCTGAAAATCCGGCCTGAATACTGTCAGTCACAGGATGGTAGAGCGATGCTAGATCCACACTATTTTGAGGGGAAATCGGAGCAGCAGATATCAGAAGTTTGAATTTCAGTTAGAAAGTAAATTATGGTAAATTTTATAACACAACTGATTGGGGAAGAGCGTTTAGCTCAGGGAGGTGCATTAAAAATACTTAATTGGAGTCCTGTTTCGGTTATGCTTTACTTAGGTATGTGTCTGAGATTAGCGACTGTAAACACAGAAAAGTATTTCCTTCCATTTGATGGCCTTCTTCATGAGACTCACCAAGTATGATGGGATATGATTTGGGGTGTAATCTTTGCAGACTATTCCTTCCAAAAAACTTGATTTTACTGATGGACAGTTCTTAAACTGGCCTCTTCACGTTACAGTAACTACTGTCTGTTGCTGTTAGAGTGTTCTGTTCATTTACAAGATGGAGGCTTTGAAATGTTGGCATTTGAGCACTAGCTCCAAGTTCATCGCTATGAATGGAGCTCTTAGCATTAGTTTTTTTTGATTAGGGACTGAACGAGGCATTTAGCTTTCAACAAAGCGGCAAAGAGTACACGCAGCAAGGAGCAATATGAGAAGAAAGAAGAACTACATGTTGTCAACATACCTTTGAATACCCTTCAGCATAGACGCTATCTCCTGTCTCATTGCTTCTGCCATTGTAACTGTTTAAATTATTACTGAGATAAAAGACGTAAAATTGAAAATATCACTGAAAAAAGCTCAACATGAAACTTGATGTTGATAAAAAGTACAAGATGGAGACATAACCTATCGGCGAATCAACGTGTAGACATGGAATAAGACAGGCGGTCTACCTCTTCTCCTCCTCTCCCTTGATGCACCACTTTTTCTTGCATCCGATTGGTTCAGTATAACAAGATGGCGTATGTAGAGTACACACTCACTGCAAAAATACTTTATTGATGAAGTTAACTCTGTGTACGGTTTTTACTCTATGGTATGAGTCACCATTGTTGACGTCTAACGTCATTTGTTATCAATTTTTATCAGAAAATTATTTCCTTGAACAAGTGCAAGTACTCGCTGTTATTCTAGGTGAAAAGTTTTGGTTCCGTTCATCTAAAACTCAAGAATTTCATCGTATAATCTTGCTTTTAGCTTCACCAGGTTCTTTATCTTATTATCTCAGAAAGTGAGAAATAGTTGAGTATGGCAATCTTACAGACTTTCATTATGTCTTTCTACTCTTTCCGCCCATGAAATTAGTAATGTTTTGTGCAATGTGCAGTGTCATGGCTCAGCCAAAAAACTTTTTCATTAAAGAGTTCTTTATTTAGTTTGCTTCTTTGCTGCTCCTTGTTATAAAAGTTCAAGTTTGGATTGCTTAGTTCTGACTAAGAACTTAATCGTAACGTTGGGTGAACAACTGATCAGGTATGAAATCAGCATCTTTTGCGTATTTTGCCTTTCGCTCTCACCTTCGGGTTTGTTTTACTCAACAGAGCACATTTTACACTCAGTTTAGAATACACAGTTCATAGAGGAACTAAGAGCAAATTTCAATATGTGAGGGTACTCTCTCCCCATTTCCTTGCTCAATACCAACCTCAGCCAACCCATTCAAAGTTAAGAAAGGAACTTTCTCTCCAATGTAGATTATACCATAATGGTTGTGAAGGCCCATGAGGTAAACGTTGAGGCACAGAAGTTATTACTCTTCACTTGCTTGCGCAAATGGCAGTTCCAATATTTTTGTACGCCGATGAAAAAGGTGAACCTATCTAGCGTGAGGTTTAACTTTAATCTATAAGGGTGGCTAAGGCAGTTTGATAATTATTGTGATGTCCACAGAATATTCAAAATTCTCATTGATTAGACTAACATTTGAGTGTAATCAGACATAAAATGTATCTACTGATTTTTTCATGAAAATAGCAGGATATCAAACTGACAAGGTCATGATGACTCGTTCCTACTTTCTCGAAAATGTTCAGTGTTTTGCTAATATTATTAGGTTTAGTTAGTGTCAGTCACCAAAAATTAATTAAACCAACGACAATAAAATTTAAGCCTCAGTTTTTGAGTTTTTGACCTCGGTGATCAGTGATGGCTTGGAAATTCACCAAAACTTATTGTTTTATCCGTTTTTCAAACTTCAGTCGTAAGCACTCTCGCTATTTTTTTCTCTGTTAGGTAGTTAGGTATACATTTATAATATTGTGGTATTCAGTGTTTTACTTATTTTCCCCTAAGCTGAAAATTGTATCTCTGTACCTAATCCTAAAATGTTCTATGCTTTTTAATGTGACTCAGGCGGCAGACCACAAACCACATTCAAAGATGTATACGGAAAAAAAACCAAGTCTGAGAGTGGGAGAAGCGGATCTTTTGTGCATAAATGGATGTGGATTCTATGGAACCCCTCACACTCAAGGATTTTGCTCTAAATGTTACCGACAAAATCTTCAAAGACAGCGACAGTCTAAAGCACCAGAAGTGTAAGTTAGATTACATATATCCAAGACCAATCCACACAGGTCAGTCATTGCGCATCTTTTTGAAAGCCACTTCCCTGCCCGGCCCTTACTTGGCGGCACTCAATGCTACGTCACAATGGGTGCTCCCATAAGAAATACATTGCAGGCACTCAATACTACGTCACTGCGCAGTAGAGTACCAAAACTCGTCCTCGGGAATGACTGACCCGTGGAGATTGGTCTTGTTTATATCTATTTCAAGTTTCTAATCTTCATAGCGTAGCAGCCTGTACCTAAGATCCTCAGTGGGATCCTCACAGATTTATCTGAGGCTTGCTAGAACTGGGGAAAGAAAAGAATAGACAAATGTCACATCCTAAAATTGCACCATTCAACAGATTTTTACATGCTAACCAATGGGCCAACTGATGATTGATGCATTCAGACTGATGTGACTTTTATCTATTCTTTTCTTTTCCCTTCCAGTCCCTCCAAAAATATATAAACAAATAATAATTGAGTTTCATACCTACTCTCATTTGTTTCAAGTTCATGGAAATTAGGACCTAGAAAGGAGTCAAATTCAAAGCGAATGAAGTAATATATCGATGGGGAAACTGCAGAAACACGTAGCTCTGTTTGCAATTTTGCAGATTTCATGGAATCTGTACTATTTTTACTTGAAAAATTGCTCTATGTGAGAGATATTCTGTGAAAACAAGTCAATATGTTAGTTTGGTCCTTTTCTAGAAAATAAAAGTAGAGAGCAGAGAATAGTAGCAGAGAATAGTAGCAGAGAATTTTAAACTCCACAATTGAGGTACGTATTTTTGCAGTTTCACAGTTTATATGTAACTAAATACATGTAACCACTAGGTGCCTACTTTTATTTTCATGTTTTTAATTAATTCAGTGCAATATTTTTACTACTTGTGCCATTTCCAAGTGAAAATAGAGACTCTTGACCCAACATCATTGTTTTATTTCATTCTTTCGTTTTTACAGAGAAAAATCTTCAAATAATGAATCTCCCAAAGCTCTCTCAAGGTTCACCAAGTTTGAAGAAAAGAAAAGACAGCAAACAGACAAAAAGAATAAATTTCTGAAACTACCCTTTTACGGCAAATCATCAAATTCCAAAGGTGAGAAATTTCAGCATCTTTACCTAGCCAAGGCTGAGCTGTATCACAAGAACTGAGCTGTATCAAACTTAAATAAAATAAAAAAGAGTAGGGTAACTCCGAATATTTTTAGTTGTTCTTCTTGAACTTTGGTGTGAAGAAAGGGAAGGAGAAACACCAGTACTTCTGAACTTTTTTTTTGTCCTCACTGTTCTTATAAATGAACCCCTCTCAAAAACGTTTTATGATTCAATAATGTCAAGGAAGTTAAACTTAAGATAATCTAGAGGAGAAACTTTAATAATTTTCCAATTTCTAGCCTAAGTTCATTTTTATTTCAGAAAAATGATTTACATTTTTCTGAAATAAAAATGATTTACATTTTTCTGAAATAAAAATGAATCAAAAATACTACAGAGTTTCCCACTCATGCATTTTTCATACATTTTTTATTGGCTGTGCTGGTCATTAATCTTTCTGATACCCTTATTTTTAGCCTTTTCGCTGTAAGTTTGGAGGGATGCAACCACCATGAAGCTGGTTACCTCAGTAGGTAGCTTTGGAATATGAAATAAAAAAACAAAATATCACATTGATGATCAAAATGCAAAACCGTATGCGTACCTCCGTTTGCGACGTTGGGGACCTTCTGTCATACTTTATTTTTCTTTGGGAAACTAGTTAATATAATCTCTTGAAAACTTACTTGATTTTTCTTTTTCTTAGTTATCAGAATATTTTGTATAAACAAGCTTTAAAGTTGGCTTGCTTCCTTTCAGAAAAATGAAACGGGAGAGGAAATTTTGATACAGTGGGATGGAGATACAAGGTTTCTTGGCCATCAATATGTATTGATAATTATCTCTCAAATAGCTTTCATACCTACGTTTATACTTAACATATTTCTGTTTGTTTCCATTGTAGCAACCCCCCGACTAGCTGGATCTCAAGTGGTCACAGGATCTGAAATCGAAGCAGAATTAGATAGAATCAAACAAGAATATGATGGTGTGTTGAAAACAGTAGGACCAGTAGTAGTGAATGATATAGAGGAAGCTATTGCCTTTTTCCTGAAGAAGTTGTATTCAGATATCGAAAAGGAAAATCGTCCCGTTGAGGATATCGCGGATCGTGCACAAACACAGTATCAGATATTGTCGAAAAGAATGAATTTAAACAATGATTATGCTCGTAAGTACATGAATCTAACTTCAATCTTTTTTCCCTTTTTTCTCCTGCAACCAATTCAATGAAAAAAATACTTAGTCAAGCTGTTGCAAATTGTTGCTTCAGCTGAAAAAAGAGTATTTCTTTGTATCAAATTACCCATGGATTTTTCGGTGAAATCTTAAAATTACCCACAGCTTCTCGCTTCCAAAATTAGGTATACTATTGGCAAAGCTGTAATTCAATACGGATGAGTTACTCAACACTTCCTGTGGATTATTCTTTAGTTGAATCATACAACGTGATCCACAAATCTTGCACCACCACGACCCCTGTAACTTGTAAACAAATTAAGATAGAAACTTAAAATTTTGTGAGGAAAACGGCTTTAATCCTCCAACAGTTAAATGGGGTTATTCTGGAAAGGGGCAGGATTGCCCTTGAATCGTTATCAAATGACCTTGATTGATATATATCATTGTTAAGATAGGGAGTTATTGATCAAGGTCATTCAATAACGATTCAACAATCCACCCGCAGGAGTCATAGGGGCGTTGCAGGACTTTTGGATCAATCGGCATGGACCAAATTTAGCAGAAACTTGCCAAAATGTATTAAGTTCAAGCCAAGAAAGAGAGATTTGAAGCCCCTTAAATAATTCATGAAAATGTTCCTTCACTACAGTGTACTAGTTTTCTTATGTATTTCTTGTCAACTTTTAAAGACCACTTAAAACTGATTTTGCAGCTTTCACTACTTTAAAGTGCCGGGTAACTTGAAAATGTTTTTCTTTAAGCCAATTTATCAAGGAGAGCATACCTTTCAATACTGTTTTTAAATTCATAAATTCATCAATTTTTATTCATGCATTTGAATCTTTCATCTGCGTTTTCTCACTCTTATCATTTCTTTTATACGTGTTTATTCTAAAAAACTCCTCAATCACGGTGTATTTGTACCTTTGCTGTAGTAATTATTATCATTGACTTACCAAATTGCCAATTTTTGAAGTTGTTTTTCTTTTTTGTAGATGTAAGCTCAGAAGACAAAGAAATGTTACTTGATTATGTGGAAAAGTACATAATGACCTGTCTGTATAGATTTTTATTCTGTCCTCCATCAACTGCTGATGAAGAAAAAGATCTGTCAATCCAAAATCGGTAAGCTATGTAACATGCTATCAACTCTTGGCTTCATTTTAAAGACTGCACAAAAATCATCTTAGGGCTATGATTTGTACACATTTTACTTTCATACTTGGTGACAATTATTCTCAACAACTTACGTAGAAAGTTCAAGAGGATTTTCATTATTTAGTCTTTTTTTTGAAACTATCGTTTCATCTGTATGATTTATCATCTTTATGGAAGTAGGCATGGAAAAAAGGAAAGAAAAGAATTTGAAAATAAAGATAAAAACACCATTTGGGACTGGCTGCTAAATTTGGAATTTTTAAAACCTGTTCAGTGTTTAACATCAATTTTAAATGATTGATTGAAGCCTCCTTTTTGCGGTAAAATTTATCTTTTAATCCATAGTTGAACACCTTTCCGAACATTCTCAAGACACAGTATCACAAGTTTGTTTCTGTTGTAAGACAAAGTTTTTGAGTGAAAAGTTAAGAGAGAGGGCTCCCCTGTAAAAATAAAAGGCTTACACCACTTATTTTCAAGGTTTTTTATAATTTAAGGATGTTTGTTAAAACTCAACCCTAATAAATTAAAAAATTGGCCCCCGTTCACTCAAAAATTGTATCCACATTTTTTATGTAAATGTTAAAGTATTCCATAAATCAAAAATAACATCCTAGTAATAATTTGATTAATGTTTGAATTTTGCTGTAATGATTTCAGGATTAGGAGGTTGAACTGGATTAATGCAAATCACTTAGATTGTCGTATAGATGAAACTAATGCAGATGTGAGAGACCTAGTTTACAACTCTATTTTAGGTAAGGCACATTTTTTCTCAAACTGTTTTGGAGGTGCATATTGTTGTAGGCCTCTGCAATTTTCTGCAACACACTGGGTTTTTGCCAAAAGGTCAAAAAAATCCGTTGATCAATATTTTCTTAAATTTTTGGATAATTTTAGGATGTATGTCAAAGTCCAATTATTCCACCAGAGTTGAAAATCTGGAAACCATCAAAAATAAAAATTTTCAGCCTCCTCCTTTTGAAGGGCGCGTCCAAAATTTGGTTGCAACCGGATGGTTTGGAGATGTTTTCATGGCAGAAACTAATCAGCATTGGCACAGGTTGTCATAGAAACGCTCATGGTAACTCAAATATAATTTTACACAAGACCTTTCAGCAAGTGAAAGTAGAAAGAAGCATCTACAAATGTGTATGTGTATTTGAATAGCAGTTTACTGTCATTATTTGCTCGTCTCAGTCAACACGGACCTCACAATGGATCAATGTGTGTGACATGATGAAGGACTCCATTTTGTCTTTATGATGATATTCGCCATAGTTATTTACTTTTGTTGAATTTCTATGTAAATTTATAGTATTATTTTTTATTTTCAGAATTACTTAATATGGATTCAGTAAAGACACCTCAAGATAAATTGGCTTGCATAGTTCGATGTTGTCGCAATATTCTCTCATTACTCCACTGTTCTGCGGGTGGTCCTGCATCTGCAGATGAATTTCTTCCAGCTCTAATATTTGTTGTACTCAAAGCCAATCCAGCTAGGCTAAAATCAAACATGAACTACATCACAAGATTTTGCATTGCAAGTCGATCGATGTCAGGAGAGGGTGGATATTATTTCACAAATCTATCTTGTGCAGTTGCATTCATCGAAAATTTAACAGCTGAGTCACTGAATATGGACGAAACAGAATTTGAGCAGTACATGTCGGGGAATATCGCTCCAACAAGTACTTGGGAATGTGCTCTCGTGATGTGTGAAGGCCTACATTTGATCAATGAGCACCTTGCAGTATTAGCGGACTTGAAAAATCGTCACAATGTTTTCATGGATGATGTCGCGAAATTCAAGTCCGAAATGAACCAGTTCAAAGAAACAGTGTTGAATAAAGCTGAAAAAATAACACAAGAAAGGCCGCTGGTTTTAAAGCCAACCAAAGTACCGACTGCCTTGGATGCAGATGATCCAAAAGTCCAAGAGCTACCTCCTCCGATCATTCCATTTGTTGTCTCCGGCAAAGAAACTACTTTGTCTGGGAATGATGACTCTCCTTTTGGCACGGAAACAATCGTGAAATCATCATTACTCACCAAACCATTATCGCCAGTTTCACCCTCTTCAAACTTACCATCAACCACGGCAGACGAAACTCTGACAAATGTCCATTATGATTTTGATCTATCAGATATCAGCACATCAGAAACTGATGAGAACTTGGGTGGATACCAAGCTCTAAAAGCCCCAGCCTCCCACCATTCCTCCGACATTCATTCCATTGATACTGAGTCGATGCAATCATTTGATTTGAATTACTCGATAGACTCAGCAACAAACACCGACAGAAACAGTGTCGATTCACTTTCTATAAATGAATCCAAACGACCGTTGCTTTCATCTCCAGTCAGCGATGAGGTTGTTACGACAAATCCAAAATCGTCAGTTTCTCTCCTGGATGAAACTCAGTCACCCTCTGAAACTGGCTTAGCTTTACAATCACCCCTTCAGCCAGTCCCTACGGTTGACTATCAGGTGTGTACTTATTCTGAATTTTGTATATGGTATGTTACGTTGAGTTTTATGTTGAATGTAGGGTAAACATCTCCAGAAATAATAAGAAGTTGTATAATCCCAGTTTATCTTTTCAAAAGATACAACTTTCATAAGTTTGACTATTATTACAATTTAAAGGATCAGCTCTCATTAGGAGCAGCAAAGATTACATCCCTAACTGTTGATGAATTTGAAAATTTTTGAAACCAATATGTAGCAATCACCATGAGTTTTCTGATAAAATTCTCTCAGAACATGTTGTCCATTGAAAAAGATATGACAATTCAAGTAACATTGCATCCACCTTTAATTCCAAACTATGCTCAAGTGACAACTGTTCTGTTAAATTTGCATCTCAGCTTTACTTGCAAACAGAGGCCTCCAGGAGTATTTGTTCAAAAATTAAAAATTTGAAGTTTCTCAACTAAGTATAGAAATGGTCAAATGCGGAGAATGTGTATCTCAATTGGAATGCTAGAAAATATTTGATTTTATTTTACCATCTTCAAGGAAAACAAAATACATTTTTTCCTAACCATTTCGTGAGATTTTTTTGAAATGAGTGAAGAGAGATCACAAAACTTTGTAATATAGACTGTGTGTTTGTGTCCTTTTAAAAAATATAAAACATAAGAAGAGACTTTGAATGTCTCCCTTGAAGATATCAATAATGAAACTCCCAAACAATTCAACCGAGTTGTGCTGTTCTAAAATGTCTGCTCTTATTTTATGTTTTCAAAGGAGAACAAATGAACATTATTCCTTGAAGTTTTCAATAAATTTTCTTCACTCAAAGAGAAAAAATCATAGTAGCATGAAAGAATTTTTTTTATTTGTTTTCCATTTAAGAAATGCAGTATGACAGGAAGTCTTCAACATCGTAAAGCGTAAACTGAAATAAATTCTTTGGGAATTTACCCATGGCCATGCATTCTTCTACTTTGGCCATTGATATTTGTTAAAAGGAGGAGTTTTTCACTGGTAGGTGACGCTCAGGTTGTAGAAGTGATTTATAATTTTTTAATAATTGATAACCACTCAAAATTTCACTTTAAAATGTTTTTAATGTACTGTTTATTATCTGTTTCAGGGATTCTCCGTTCAAGGTTGGCAGATTCCTAGTATTCCATGCGAAACAGGAGCTGCATGTGATAAAAACAAATTTAAGGATAATTCAGCAGCAAAATGATAGGTTTTAAAAAGGAGGTGTAAGTCCTGTAATTCACTAATTGTCCTTTTTGAGTCTTTTTCCATCATATTACTTATTTTACTAAATTTTTAACCAAGCATCGTTTGGTGTGAAAAATGAGAGTCAGGTTTCTTCTGCTCCAACAGAAATGTTTTATTCCATTGATCTGCAATTTTTCTTTTCCTCTGAATTTTTCAACTTTATCTAGAATCGGTGTTCATCTGTGATGGAATAGTTAATTTTATCAAGTATTATCTTCAAACTTAGCCAAGTATGCTTCTCCGAATACTTTTTACAGAATCCACTGTCTGAACTTTGGACCTCGTCCTTTCTTTCAAAATTTGGCAGTTTCTAGCACTCTGTAAGTCTCATTAAAGTCCAAATAAGCTTTAAGATTAATGGAAAGTGTTTAAAAGTTTGTCTAAGTCAAAAGAGTGTACCTCAAATACAATGAGCCACCAAACAAGGTATTGAGTTAAAGCACCACTTATCATGTTTCCTCCTCAAAATTACTCAAGAACAACTAATCGCACAATAAGAAGCCTGACGATTAGCTCCTGAACAAGATACAGGTGTTTACAATCAACATTAGTTGAATGGCAAAAATACAAATCACATCATTAGTATGATCCAACTTTCATTTAATATTTGTTAAAAATACTTGTTAATATCTCGTTCAGGGGTTGGTCCTCACTTTCCATTGTAAAAATCGTTTTGTACGCAAGATTTTGAATAGAAAACGTGACATTTCCCTCTAGTCCAGACCTTATCTAGTAGCCCATTGGATGGACTTAAACAGATTCAGCCTAAATGCTATTCTTGTTGCCTAAATTCCTCTTTTGTTTTATTTTTTCAAGAGAGAAATGAACAATAAAATGTCTCCAAACTTATTTGGATTGTCCATAGATTATGAAGGATATACACACAGAATTTCAAATCAGAGTGTTGCTTAGTTTACTGGTAAAAGAATAAGACACAAGAAGAAATTAAGCAATGGCTGATGTAGTCAGGCTTGATTTTGGTTAAATCTATCCGATCGCAAATTGTTTTTATTTTTTAGCAGTACAAGTTGTTCATACCCAGTAAGTTTAAGTAATTCTCTTGTACTTACTTCCAAAGAACAAAAGAGGGTTTTGAATTTATTTTATTCTGTTTTATTTTTGTATATTTTTAACTTATGATTCATCAGTGCAAAGTTTAAAAGCCTAGTTTTTCTTTTCAACTTACAAAAACTTGAAATAATTACATTATGTCTTTTAACATCAAAATTTTGAATACATAGAATCATCTAACTTTAAAATAATGAATGATAATTAAAAATTTAAATTAATAATAATTTAAAATTTGATGATAATTAAACATTTTCTCTGGAGTCTTCTATTTGTATCATTCATCTTCTAAAATGTTTGGGGAGAATCATTGATGATTTGATGAAAATAGGCATTCGATCTTTTTAAATCTAACAGGAGCCAGTATAACTAGTGTTCTTTTTGGCCTTGAATAAACTGAGAAAAATGTTCCAGTTAATAATTCCCAGACAGGAATTGTCAAGTCAACCAAAAATCTCCTTACAGTGACAGGATATCTCCTAAAAATGACAGAAACACTGTTTAAAGTATGGAGATTTCTCGTTGACTCAACAGAAAATCTTACCTGAGAATTATCAATTGAAATTTCTATTGATTCAACAGAAAATATTCCTCTGTGTAGTCTCTATTTGCCCCTTTGTTTAGCACTCAATCAAAGGAAATATTCAATCATCAGTGGATTTGATTTGAAGTAGGTAAAAATTTTGCTCATAATTAAATGTTAATCGAGTCGTTGGTTTATATGTTCATAAGAAAGAGCATTAGAAAGTTCCTTTTTCATTAATAAGAGTTGCATTGGGTTTCAAACAATGCAGTTGTAGCTTAATTTTATGTATTTTTTGTCTGCATGTCAAACCAAATCTTTGTTTTATTTGTTAAATCATTAATATAATGAGTCTGATATTTTATGTCGATTTGTCTCTTCTACCTGATGCTGCATGAAATTCCTGAAATTTACGAATTTAAAAAAAAATCCTTTTTTTCTAATTGGTTTTACTGAGTTTGGTTGGTTTCTAATTCCAATTTAATGCTTAGTTTTTGCAAGAAAAATAAACACAAGCTATTCTGCCTTGCTAAGAAAAACCGCTGTATGATCATCCGGATGTTTATAAAATGTTTATTTTTGAGGACATTTAAGAATATTCTGCCTTGAACTTTTTTGATACTGTGGATTAAATGGTAAACTAAATTCTCTGAAAAATAGAGAGAAAAGTATCCTCAATTTTCCTTGAAAATTCGTATTTTATAAGGAGAAATTTAGCAATGTCTGAAAGCTCACATGGCGTTTTTCCCTACCACGGCAGCTATAGGCACGGCAGCGTATATGTAGCTTTTCAAGCATTTTAGAAAGATTTTACTTGAGTTATTTTAGCCTGAATTCAAGGTCATGATCAAGAAAACAGATTTGTAAAGTACTTCAATTTAATTCATCCTACCAATGAATAAAAACAATTTTGGGCAGTGTGTTGTCAGAATATCTTATTCGCTGGTATATCGAATCAGTAGATATAATGACACATAGGAAATAACATATCTAGGAACATATAGAAGTAACATTTTCCTCTTAGAAAAGAAGAAGAAGAATCGCTTCTTGAGCACTTAATTTTATTAGCCAAAACACAGCCGTCACTGATTTGAAAATAACTCATTGTCAGCGTATTGAGATGAGCCACCTCTAGCTACAAACTACGATGGAACTCTTTAAAATATCAAGTACCTGAAGTATATCACCATAAATCTTGAAAATAATCTTTTAAGTGTACTATATTTTGACTCTGCATGATTATACTGGTATGCGGCTGTGCAAAAAAAAAAGAAAAAAAAAAAAACATCATCAGGGGTGGCCTCATGCGAGTGGATTGCCGGGTCGATTCTGTGTGACGGGACTGTTTTAGACAAGTTGCCCCTTCAATCCGGATTGATACAGCCCGTTTCCGAATCGAGCCGATCAAGATCTCTTATCCCCAGAGCTGAGGGCCTTTCTCTCATCGACCTTGCGCCTCGCAGCCTGGCATTTCAGTCTGTCCATCCCCTGTTATCGGTTTACAAAACGTCTCATGTAGAAAATGCATTTCCCACACGCATTTCAGATCCACGCATCGAAGGCTACGCCACTTCTTGAATCACACTGTACCGCCCGTGTCGCGTGTCGCCCTACCTTTTTTTCCTCCGCTAAGGGAACGCTTGATCAAAATTGAAAATTCGAATTTTCCGCCGAAAATCCGGATCAAGGTGAAAACCGGGGAGAGTTAAAGAGCGCGTTTTGATGCGTCAAATAAATTTTGACAAATCTGGGAGCTTGCTATTAAAATTGATGATTTGAACCTTCCAGGCATTTCCAAAACATGGAGAATTCTTGAGAATTTTGCATAATTTCGCTGTCGGATTAACCCTCAGATACCCAAGACTTTTTTTATACGCCGAATCTCAGGTCGGGCCATGCTATTTGTATGTTTTTGAGGGTAAGAAATATTTTTTTTTTACATGTTCACCATTTTGGCAACATACTGGCTCTTTATCACTCCTCCCCCTCCTTTGTCTGTCATTTGTAACTCCCTCAGAAGAGATAGTCGGGTCAATTTTGCGCCCTTTCGAGCCCTGGAGAAACCCTCTTACATTTTTCCTCTTTTTCAAGATGATTAAAATTAACCTTCATTTATCTCAAATTGCAAAAATAAGAGACATCTAAATGCGGTACAACTCTTCATGATTTTTGGATGTGCATATTGCAAATGCAAAACTTAAGGCGCGATGGCTTGAGTCGTGAGCTCGCAATGCTGTGCTCTATGCTGCTATTGAGATTTGAGAGAGAAGTTAAAAAACGAGGCTCTTCGAAAAAAAAAACCAAAAACAAAAAAAAAAAAAAAAAAAAAAAAAAAAAAAAAAAAAAAAAACTTCTCTCCTATCTTCGACTTTGTTGCTCACGAAGCCTTTGAAGCACCACCTCAAATACAAATGTAGAAGACAAAATCAAACAGTATAGAAATAAAGCAAGGGAAAAGGGGCGCGCTGATGACGGCGCAGAGATACAACTATTCGTACATGATGGATGTCCGTGTTGCATCTGCGAAATTGAAGGCGCGATGGCGCGAGGCGTGAACTTGCAATGCTCCGCTCTATGCTGGGCAATGGAGTGTCGCTCAGATTTGGGAGAAAAAGTTCACAAATAAGGCCTCATTATGTCTCTCCGGCCCTGAGTTTAGGTGTGCTTATTAACGTTGTTCAAATCATGCGAACTCAAAGGCGTAATCGATCATAAAATGGGTTGGGTTCTTGTCGATTTATTTTTACTTTTTCAAAATACATATTAACTTTTTCCGAGAAAGCACCTCGTTGATGCAAACTCACGCAAATTGGCACGTGACTTAAAGTCACCGTGGATAAGTTTCAGGGGAATAAGTTTTAGCAAGTCCTATCAAGAGAGAATTTCTAATGAGTCATTCAATTTCTCTTCGCTGTATTGTGAATGCTCTTATCTTTTCTTTGGTCTATTCTTCTCCAATCCTCAGCCTCAGCTATCTTTATTTTTTATTTACATAATTTCTCAGTGACGATGTTTCTTCACGTTATTATTTTTATTTTTTGTTAACATATATAAATGAATCTTACTTGTGTGATCAAATAAACAAACTCTCCACTCTTCACATAAGTAATACGTAGGAATAAGGACAAGTTGTTGTCGTTGTTTTTTTTTTCGTTTTTGTTTTATTGTTTTTGTTTATAGAATTTTAAATACTCGATCACGAGCCATTAGCTTTTGAAGTTCTAAAATGTAGTGTTTATTGTGAAAGTTCAAAGACAGGAAACATGATTATGGCGTCGCATATTCTTTAAATTTTTCCTTATTTATTTATTTTTTTTCTTTTCTCAACGAGTTTTCTTCTCGAGTATTTACTTATCAGGTAAATTATAATAAAATAAAAAGATAAACTAGAAAAAAATAAGAGTTGAGTAATAAGTTTTTCCTTATTTTCCTGATTTCGAAGATATGACATTCTATAAATTTTTTTATGCAAATATATTTTTATATTTTTTTTATAAAAAGCAATTAATAGAGTAGAGTGTCTCATAATTTAATTTGCAGAATTAGATGTACATGCATCCGTTTTTGAACTTTCATCAGTGATAATATGGTGTTTATGCCTGAAAAAAAAAGGAACCTATTAAAGCTTTTCAATAACAATTTATTTTTACATCGTGCAAATTATTCACTTTATCCAGAAAGACATACGTGATTATAAAGGCACGTTAAAATTATTTTACAGGAGCATTAAATATATTCACAGACATGAGCTAGTTCAACAAAAAATACAAAATACAAAAGGGTAACAAGAATGGATACCAATTCCCAGACTTCGAATTCATTTCCTTTCAATCGCACGGTTATTGCAGGCATTCTGCATATCCTTAGAAAAATCTAATATCCAATATTAAAATTGAGGTGACTTTAAAACAGAGAGGCACCAAGTGGCATTGCGTTATAGCAGAGAATAAGAGGTTTGAGATTTTCTTCTCTCACAACATTACACTCAGTGTGAAAAATGAACTTAGAGTAAGCATTTGGAATACCACAAATTATTTATGGGATTTTGGTTTCGTGGCATGAGAATGCTATGCTTATATTACGTTTGAATTCACTCATGACACATTTTCCCTGATACTGCGCTTGATTCCTTTCTGCGAACATTTATCCAATCACAAATTAAAGCTGGGACGATTCCTGAGGTACAAAATAAATCACTAACGAGTTAATTCAGAATAGAAATAATCTAAATAATTTAAAACTACGAAAAACAATGATTAATTCTAAGAAGTCTTTTTCATTCATGTACTTAAAATATAATCCACGACTCAGGCGTAGGGGAAGGGGGGGAGGTTTATTTAAAGAGGAAGCAATTTCAACAACCTCTAAAAATGATAAGCTTAGAACAAGTTATACAATGCTCGGGGTATGCCCTTGGGTTAGGACAACCTTAAAAATATTTATCAGAGAAATGTAAGCCATGTTAGCCGGGAAATTTTTAACACAAGGATTATGTTTTATCAATGGTGATGTAATTGACTTTAAAACTGAAACATACTTGCGCATTCGAAAAATTAATTAATAAACACGAAATTAATGAAACTTAAAATGGTCAAATTTTATTCGATGCCAGTTAGGAAAGTTGGCCACCTCACGCCCTTTCCCTTCAAATGGCGCCCCTGCACCATTTCATATCATCGCATCCGAGCCGTGGAGTATTAACCTGAGACCCGAGAAATTTACGTCACCACGGTCAGGGTGTCTACTAAAACAGGCTGGCCAAAAATCAGTACTTTTACAGTACTTTTCCAGTCCGTCCCTGTGCAATTCAGTACTTCCTCATAAGAGAAATTCAGTTCTTTTTCAGTACCTCCATTTGACGAAATTCGAAAATTTTCAAAAATTGAATTTCTCGCTCAAATTGCGACAAAAATGACAAAAATTCCGAACCTTCTCGCGAAATTCCGCTTTTTTTCAGTACTTCCAGACCGCTCTTAAAAAATCAGTACTATATTCGGACTTTCCGGAAATTCCGGACTTGTAGACACCCTGGCACCCTGCACGGTCACCAAATTCCGTCTCTCTCGACGCTTAACGAGGCGTTAGACGTGGACAACGTGCGGACGAAGGCAGCGTGGTTGACGACAGAGGGGAGTTGTGGGAGTCTTAATCTAAGACCAGATGAAGAAACATCACCAGGGTCGCCACATGCTGTCCTTCTCGACGCTGGACGATCCGCTTGACGTGGACAAGGTAGACGTGGACAGAGTGGACGTGGACAACGTGGACGACGACAGCGGCGAGCTCTCGGACTTGGGTCTGGGCGAATCGCCGTCCTCTTCCGAGGACTCCACCTTGGTCCTTTTGGCCCCGGGTCCATCTTCGTCAGGACTCCGGTCATGGCCTCGCTTCAGGAAGCCGGACTCTTGACTCAGATCCAACTCGGGTTTCAGGTCCAGTTCGGGTTTCAGACTCTTCGGGAGGAGGAGGCCAATCGGCCTGGACTCGAGGTCCGGCTCCGATTTTATGGTCGGCGATTCCACGAGACGCTTCATGGAGAAGTCCAGAGGGTTCTTGCCGGCCGGGTGGAAGCCCCGGTCCTCGGAAGTGATCACGGTCAAAGGTTTCAGCTTTTGTGACGTCAGGAACGACCTAATGGACAAAAATGATGTTAAATATTAGCGCCACAGTGGCAAAAAGTTACGAGTTTTTTTTTTTTTTTAACAACAGGTAAAGATACGTCAATAAATGCTGATATGAGGCCTTATATGTAACAATGGCGGATGTGAAAAATTACCTTTTAGAAACGCACTTAAAAACTGTTTTGTTCACACTAAAATTTAATATGTTTGGCTCTGGCATAATGTACAGATCTCGAAGATCACATCTCAAGTATTTTCTCAAAATTTTCTCGATGCCAAAACAGTTTTTTGAATGTGTTTCGAAAAGGTAATTTTTCACATCCGCCATTGTTACAGATAAGTCCTCATATACTAGTCTTCAAGTCAATACGTCTGAGATGTGTAAAATCAGCTCGAAAAAAAGCGATTCTGTAGAACTGAGCTTAACAGGCAGGAAAAAAGTCCATAATTAAGTTTAGAGAGAGAGGGGAAAAGAGGAGTGACGTTTTGATTTACCACGAAATTCAATGGTGGAGCCTCGGAGGAGTCATAACTCGATTTTTGTCATTAAAGAGCAGTAAATGCGTGCAAAATTGACGTCATTTCCTACGAGACAACGGTTAATTTAGAAAATCCCAGTTTATCCACATTATTATTAACCAATACTCACGGACTGCTAACTTGCTTAACTTTAGAACGAATACGTTCATTTTTATCATCAAAGGTAAAATTCGTCAATAAGTAACCATTCGAATATTATTTTTCGACAATTATATGTAATAATAAATCTCCAGATGCTGCTTGAAAATGCTGCGGTAAACGCAACACTAATTTGATAAAAATTTCCACTCGGACAGTTTCTCTCAAAACTTGATTTTTCGATCCACTGCGCTAGGAATGGAGGGTCTCTTTTTGTCACCCTCACACCCTGAAGAAATGTACTCATAATCGTATGCTAGTAAAAACAGTTAGTACCATTTGTAGTCCTGTAACACTGGAAAAAACACACTGGATCTAGAGTTCAGACTCTTGAAAACATTGACAAGAAAAAACACTCTTGATTCAATCGGAATTCTGCTTGAATCAAAACGAAATCCGCTTCAATTAAGAGGCTTGGTTCTTGATTTAAGCTAGATTCTGATTGAATCAAGAGTACTTTTCCTTGTCAATGTTTTTAGGAGTCTGGACTCTAGATCCAATGTGTTTTTTCCAGTGTATTTAAATAAAAGTTTGAAAAAAAAAAAAAAAAAAAAAAAAAAAAAAAAAAAATGTATGCTTACCTCGCAAAGAGATCGCGCTTGTCCTCATAATTGCTCTCCTCCCTCGGGAAATTGGTGAGCTCTTTGAGGAGCCCCTCCTCCGCCCGGAGCTTGGCGGCCTGCGACTGGTAGACGATCCGGTTCTTCATGAGGCTCTTGTTGAAGTTCCTCTGCGGGATCTTGAACTCGAGGGTGGTGGAGGTGACCTCCGAGTGTCCGGGGGCGTCGAAGACGGGCGAGGAGGAGGTCGACTCGGGGCTGAGGAGGCCGGCGTCGTCGTCCTTGTGGACGGCCGTGAAGGCGCTCCCCCCGCGGGAGCTGTTGGGGAGGACGAAGGCGAACTCCCCCGTCGGGAGTCGCGAGGGGATGAGCTGGACGGAGAGCGCCTGGAGCCGCTGGTTGTTGTTCAGGTCGTCGGGGGCGGGCATGGCCGGGGTCGACGGCGGGAACATCGTCGTCGGGGCGATCTGCTGGAGCCCGGTGACGCAGCTCCCGAGGTGGGCGGCCAGCCGCTGCTTGAGCCCGGCGTCGATGCCGTCCAGCCGCCCGATGAAGCGGTTCACCTCGGTCGCGCACTCGCTGAACCCGGTCTTGAACTTGTGCACCACCGTCGGGTCGGCCGCCATCGCCACGGACAGTTGTTGCTTTTGCACGGATTGCAGGTGTTTCACGGTCATCTCCAGGATGTCCGCTTTCTCGAGCTTCGAGTGCCGGGCCGGCTGTAACATATTAAAGAGATACTACATTAGAGCACCGAATTTTGAAGGAAGGCATTTCGGGTAAAGTCTGTGTCAACTCAAACCAAAATTTTACACTGAGAATAAAAACTCCGGTCGTGGAAGCTGTACTTAAGGGCTATATGGACACACTGGAAGAAAAAAAACACATTGGATCTAGAGTCCAGACTCTTGAAAACATCGGCAAGAAAAAATACTCTTGATTCAATCGGATTTTTGCTTAGATCAAAAGCCGAGCCTCTTAATTTGAGCGGATTTCCTTTTGATTTAAGCAAAAATCCGATTGAATCGGGAGTATTTTTTCTTGTCGATGTTTTTAAGAGTCTGGACTCTGGATCCAATGTGTTTTTTTTCCAGTGAGGAAGGCATTTCGGGGAAAGTCTATGTCCACTTAAACCAAAATTTTACACTGAAAAAAAACTCCGGTCGTGGAAGCCGTACTTACGGGCTATATGGACATACCGTCCGCGCTCCGGGCTTCGAGGCCGAAAGTTCCGGGCGTAGCACCCGGAGCAATCGGAGCTACGACTCCAGCATTCGGAACTTTCGGCCTCTGAGCTCGGAACGGATGGCATGTCTATATAGCCTGTAAATTCTTTTTCAGTGTATCATTTTAACAGATTGACTGAATTAAGGGCTTAAGTCCTTTAATAAATGTCGAGATTTTGGTCTTGAGCAGGTACGTTGTCAACGATGATACGTTTTTCTTTGCATTTTGGAGGAAACACTGGCATTTTTAAACGGTGATCAATCGCATTACACACTACACAAACGGAACATAAGTATGTACAAAAAGAAGGAATTAAGAACATGCAAGTAGCCTTTCAGTTCATTCGTGTCTTGAGTGGTTTTTGAATGATATGAATGCACCCGTTTTCTCTCTCGCCGCGCCATACCGCCTCTCGTCCCTTCAACGTTTCGTATGCGTTTCATTTAACGTAAGTTGGACAGATGTTGGACTATCAGCGGTTAAGCCACAGCAAATGGGTCCTCTTTTTAAACAAGGCACAAAACTGTCAATGCAGATAAGTCCCGTTTGCTCAGTTGTATCCAATTCTTTCCCGCCGAATGCTGCACAATCATCTCGAGACGGAATGAGTGTTCGCGTATTGATACAGACCCCCAAGAGAGAAAATCAATTGTACACACCATCCTCCTCTCCTCACATAAAAATGGTCCATGTTTCAACCGCACGGCATCCGTCCAGTTCGCACCGATAGCGTGCACAAATCGTCAACAGCGTTGCCGTCCTAACCTAAAACTCGCTGTTTTAAATCGTCGCCGAGGTAGACGTAGGGATATTCCCATCGAAAACGTCAACAGTGGGAGAGTAGCACGAAAGAAGAGCCGAGTTATGGTTCGAGGCGGAAGGCTGATGCGGGAAACGGACGGCAGATCTGTACCATTTTTTTCACCTCGCGTTTACGTCTCGTCATTCCAAAACTTGAGATGAGACATGCTGCTCGTATGCATTTATGTTCTCCGGGGCTCATGTAACAATTGAGTTAAGCTCTTTCGTCAGCGGAGCGGTTGATTTGTCGGTCTCGGGAGAGGTGGGCCCAAGCGTCTTGTCGTGGCCACGGATGGTAGCCAGTGGTCATCGGCGTTTTCCCACCATGCCGGCGCGGGCACAGTTTTGAGTCCGTCTCGCTTATTCCCGTGACGGAACCCC